GTGGACATTGACGTAAATATGTCTTAGTCGTATTGTATTATCATTTTTCAGAGAGTATACCTCAAAGGTAGCCACCGACCACTTCAATTTTGGGAAACTTCAGGCAGGATAAGAAATTTTAAAAATTGTCTATGTTCTTATAGCTCCAGGGATCCTATTTTTTTGGACCCCAAAGAATATTTTTCTGGAACGATTCTCTCTGTAAACAGATATAAAGCTACCTTATCCCTGATTTGCATCAAAATTGTGACAATAAAACACCAAACACACCGCAAAAATAATTTCTCTAAGCAAAGTTTTTTGTCAACAGGTACTGCGAGGCGCTTTTCATTTTGGTAAAAGCCAGTTTGGGGACCGGAATTCTATGTATGCCGAGAGCTTTCTATAATGCAGGCTATGTTCTAGGTGCGGTCGGCACGATCTTTGCAGGCGTGATATCTGTGCTCAGCGTTCATCTAATTGTGAGTTTTACGTAGAGTTTATTTGTTGGATTTTCTCAGCGGAGAATTGACGTATTATCTAAATTATATGTATGAAAATGAAATAAATTAGTCGTCTGCAAACCAAATAGATCTTTTTAAAGCAAGTCCTTTACAAAAAAAAAAAAAAAAATAGTATAATGTATGTTTAGTGCCTATGTCAACTGTTCACATAAATAAGCGAATGGGTGTATCAAATTTTTTATCATGATTTTACGAATGGGAACTTCTAAAATATTATCTGTTTGCGTAAATTGAATTTGATCTCTTTCTCATAATTTCCTTCAATATTTCGTATAGGCAAACACAGAGCATGAGCTTTGCAGGAGAAAGAGAATCCCTCGCATGACGTATCCGGAGACACTCGAAGCATCATTTGAGATGGGCCCTGGGAATGTTAAACGATACAAAGGTATTGCAAGGTAAATACTTACATTACTTCATAACGCACCATACACCTGGAGGATTTTTATTTTAAAAATTGTTTGTCTTGGGAAGATTAAATAATTTTAAGGGATGTGAAACAATGATTTTTTAACCGGAATATACATTAATCACTTCGTGTCTTTAAAAAAATGCCCCCCCCCTTAAAGTAATACATTAAATGATTCTGAAAGTCTAAAGTAAAGAAACCCCAGTTCATGAGGGTACAATTTGCAGTAGAGAGTTTTTTTTCAAGAGTTGGGTCGAAAAATCAAATTATACGCTTTCAAAGGAACACTCTTTATGCTGATCCATGCACAGGTGACCAGCAGCGATGCAGACAAGTTTGCCAGGTTTTGTGATAAAATGCGGACATTTTGAATGAATCAAAATGTAGGATAGTGTTGCACTATCTGGCAACAATGACTTCAATGGAAGGCTTTAAGTTGCATGATAATTCGGCAATTTTAGAACAAGACAGAGAAATATAATGAAGAATAATAGGAATAATTGAAGAAATTTGAATAATTCATTCGAATAATTTGGTTGGAGAATAATTTTACGTTGTTTCTTCTCGGTCTTGTTTCTTTTAACTTGAAACTTGAAACTATCATAGATCCCGATTTTTTTGCCATTTATCCCCCATGCCATCCCAAAATATACACATGAATACTTACTATCCCTCTTATATCAATTACAAAGGAGTTTTTGTGAACTTGTGCCACTCTTTCCGTAGACGGTCGCATCAAATAAGAGGGAGAAGAGGAGGAAAAACACGCATCATTTAAACGCCTTACTATTTCCTCCCATGAATTGAAATACTGAAAAGTTTAAATCACTTTACAATAAATATTAATTGAGATTAAAGAGAATACAACGAATTTCATAAAAATTCATTTAATTTTCAGGGTGGTATGCACTGTAGCTTTAACTATGCAGGCATTTGGTAGTGACTGTGTGTATGCAATCTTTATAGCTGTAAATATCAAAGAGGTATGGTATGCAATGAAATATTTTTTGTCTATATTTTATCATACGAAAGATTCAACTGCAGCTCCTTTTTGTAGCACGAAATAATACTGAAAGAATTCGATTGTCTTATTTACTCTGGAGTTTTCAATTCGGTCTTGAATCTTTCATGAAGAAAATTAGTTTCAATCTATCTCAAAAAAGCCAAGCACAAATGGCACACTTTGGAATATGAGAATTTTAACGTTCAAAATAATATCAAATAGAATTTTGGCAAATGTAGACTTCAAAAATAATAATAAGAGAAGCTAAGAATTATTTTAAGCTCAAAAGTTGGCGTTGCAATATCGAAAAATGAAGAATCTTATCAGACCTTCATCAACAGAGTCCAAAATTACCAACATTTTTGCCATTGCGATAAAAATACCAAGTTCAAGGAGAAAAATTATGGGGGGTTTCGGGAAACGCTACGATAAGGGAGGAAAGAAATACGAGATGGGATGGATGGACGAAATAATGAAAGAATATGTCGCAGAGTAGATAGAGTAGACGACAGACGATGAGACCTACCGCAACCAAGAAAACATATTCTTGCAAGGATTATTTTTAGTACCATTTTTTTGCGATGCAATCTAACATACCCCTGGCTTCAACGCCCGAATCAAAACGTCAATTCTAAAGATTGGACCAATTACTGTTAAGGAGAGCAGAAAAATTATAAATGTTGGACTAACTGTCTTGTTGATGTATACTCGAAAAATGACGATATGTAACAGACTCTAACGGATTCTACTTTCTGTCTTGTTGGAGACAGCGACGAAGAAATATTTTCTGAAAAATGTTACAGCTTTGTTTAAGATGTAATAGATTATTTTCTTCAATGATACTATACTCTGCTCCTTTTTGTGAGGCAAAAACTTGAACATAAAGGAAAGTGTCTTAGAATTACGGCTGGAAGGAATTGTTGGTCGCGGACGAATCAGGTCTGTATGAAAATTACTATATGCTATTCACACCATCCCCAAATGAAGTCCCCTCCATGGTACATTTTGCTTTTTGAATTTTTTACAGATTTGTGACCATTTTTTCACCCCCGCCCCGCTGAAATTTTATCTGCTATGCCTGCTCGGACCCTTCATAGTAATTTGTTGGATACGGAATCTAAAATACTTGGCACCAGGATCCACAATAGGCACCGCCTGTAGCATATGCTGTATTGGTGCTGCCTACTATTATATATTTTCGCAGCCCATCACGACTGAAGGACGGAAAACCGTAGGATCCCTCAGGGATTTTGCTCTCTTTTTCGGTGCTGCATTGTTTGCGCAAGGAGATTTTGGAGTTGTAAGCTTCATCCTGCAAACATATTCTCTTTAGTATTAAAAATATTATATTTATATTTAAAGTTTCAACTTTTAAACTATATCACACAAGTGATTCATTATGACGAGCCGCAGGCATAGATATGGATCCCTCAGGGATTTTTAGTTGATTTTTGAAAATTTTCAGGGAGGAACCCCAAATACAAAGAAAAGATGTACAATTGTACATCCTTCCAAGAGAGAAAAAGAGGTAGCACAAGGATAAGAATGGGATTTTTCTAATCCAGTAATTTTAATGTAAAAACTCGTTGATTCGTAATCATTTGAAAAGTTATCAAAAAAGCCACATTGACTTGAAATGGGGTCTGCCCATTGATTGGGGCCTAAGAAAATTATATAAAAAATCAAGAATAAAGGGGAGAAAAGTGCCCTCAAATTATAGGGTCACTATTGACTGGCATTTTTTCATCAACTCATATCCGCTCTTTCATAGGCTTGCGGATGAGATTGAGAGCTCTTTTCATTCCGAGATGTATCAAAAGTAGCTTAGGAAAAAGTTTAAGCTTTTGTTTGGCGCTCAAAGAGCGAATTATACAAGGAAATTTTGATTTTTATTTCTCTGATGCATTTCTACCAAGTTGCTTGGTTTATTGATTACTTGTTTGGATTTTGTTTCTAACTTCATCTTAAAGCTCTTTACTTCCAAGAGCTTCTATAAGAACATTTTTTGGTTTTAAAACAGTGAGACTTATTAAAAATAACACTAAAAACACCGTGAAGCTATCTTTTTTTCCTACAATTTTACTACAAGCTGATCAAAAATCCTAAATTTTTAATTTTCAGGGGCAAAAGTCGTAAATTATCAAACTATACGAGAAATTATCTGATTAGTCACATTGTCTCTTAGAATATACTTCCTCGTGCTTTAAGAACTCAGAATGCCAAGTTTGATTCTTATAGCTGACGATCATTGTATAATTAGCTCATGGATTTTGCGCAACCCAAAGCAAGGACTCTTTGATTTCAGAGATGAGCATCCTATATAGTTTTATTATTCAGCCTCTCTTTCCAGGTTGTACCTCTAAAAAACAGGATGACAAAACCGGCACAGTTCGGATCAGTTTGTGGTGTCGTAAACGTGGCGATGATTCCAGATGTTTTCCTCTACGTGATCATTGGTGTTTTCGGATATTTAGCATACGGTGATAACACGCGCGATCCAATCACACTAAACATGCCACAAACTGGATTGTAAGTACTTAAGCTAATCAGGTCTTCAGTAATGAACCTACGGGCAGAGTATAAAATTAAGTAAGACAATACATTTTGCCGCATCGACATTGCACGTAAAATATGCTTTGGGCCCATCGAAAGTTTCCAAATTCAATTCATGAATGAGGTATGACTCTAGGTCAGTAGGTCTCGGGTTTGAATGGTAGTTACGCCAAATTTTCATAGAACTGTGGAATGGATCTGCTGAAACAGATTCTACTAGGCCTTAATCCCTGAAATTTGGAAAGGCTGGAGCATGGATGTGCTAATCCCTTGATGACTGGAGGTTCCAGACGGAATATAAGCCAATAAACCTCCAAAAAATTGAAATCACATAAAAATCCAACTAAAGTAAATCGTTCTCCAAGGACAAAATCTTCATTTCAATTTTCGTCCCTGGTGGACCGTTTATTTTTACTAGGGTAGTGTCTCTCATGCACGTGAATTCACAATTTCCGTCCACAAAAAAGGAAAGTCCACTCTCGTCAAATCCAGTCCTACATACGGATTTCGCTTTACATTTCGTGAGAAACATTTTCCAATGTGCTAATTTTTACTTATTTTTTTTTGGGGGGGGGGGTGAAGACGTAGTTGCACTGTATCAAGAGAGAAAAGAAACGCGTATGAAACAATTCTATGTTATTCTCCGAACTTATTTTATTTATTTTTTAATTGTTTAAAATTTCTTTGGTTAGTTTGTTAATCACCGGTCGGCAGTAAAAATAGTTGCGTGCAATAGTGGTGCAATTTTCACTCAGTCCTGGCAAGGAGCGTACTTTGATTCTCCTACCTGCGTGAATCTCATTCTTCTCAGTTCGCCTTCAAAAACCGCGATGGCAATATGAGCGACTTGGAAACACGAATAGTTGCGTGCAGTAGTTTCATCTCTCTCGCTTAGTCCCGGCAGAGTTCAGACGTTCATTACTTTCCTTACTGCATACCTCGTATTCTATCGAGTTTACTATCAATGACATTGAAGGCCAAACAAATTTAATAAATCAATTTTTCTTTCCCTTTGAGCTACATAACTTAATTCTAAAACTATATACTGATTTTCAGTGCTGGCGATTTAATCCGATTCCTGTTGGCCGTCTCCGTTTTTGCGATGTATCCCATTTGTAATTACGTTGTCATCGAGTTGCTCTGGGACAAAAACTTGAAGCTAAAACTTCAAGATGTCAAGCATCGAAGCAAGTGGGAGTACGCTTTTCGAACAGCAGTGACTTGCGCAAATAGTAAGTGGAAATAATGTACAGAAATGGAACCTTAAGCTTTTCTTACCATGTAAAGCTAATATTAAAAGCAAGGGATACTAAATATTTAGTCGGTGCACATCATCAATTTGCTCGGTAAAAACACACCACCAGCTGAGTTAGCTTTCGATGAAGTATTTAATTGTTTTAATTTGAGGTGCCATAGAAAGGTATCGCAAATAAATTATCGCCGGGTGAAAAGTGATTTTCACCTCTAGAATTTACATGAAACCGTCAAAACGATTGAATTCCGTCCTTGGCAAAGGAGTTCAAGTCGAAGGAAGTGTTTCTATTCTTGATTGCACAAACGATTCCTGAGGAAAGGTGCGGAGAGAGTGTTACAGTTCTTCATAAATATGTCATTTAAATGTTAGGAAACTATCCTAAAAAAAGTAATTGTAGAGCAACCTTGAGTTTCCTTGCTGAAAAAGTTATTATGAGAAGAAACTGAAACATCCATTCTGGATTGAGACTCTTTTGATTGGTATGACGCTTTCTAAAACAACACACGCGCATTAGATACTGATTCAACTTTCATGCTAACCTCATATGACGTACTCAAGAACGGCGCATTGTTTTCTTCAAGAAAAAGAAGAAGAAGGAGAAAAACAATAAGTTTTCCCTCATTTTTATGAATATTAAAAAAGAGTTCCTATTTGTCGAAATACCATTAGCCTTTACCCGCCAGTTCATCACCTTTTTTTCTCTTTTCTTCAAAAATTTTAAACCTGCTTTGTAACACCTAATGAGGACCAATTTCAGTGCCACCACACATATAAATTCAGTAATACTATTTATTTCTGCACATTTTTCAGTTCTATTCTGCATCGCCGTTCCCAGTTTGGAATTGGTTATGTCACTAGTGGGATCTTTGATGGTGCCTGCCCTCTCTTTATGGTTCCCCGCCATCATGTACACGCTCACGTTTTGGGACGAGTACAGAGGCATTAAATTTGCATTCTTCCTACTCAGGTCTTCCATCCTTCTGCTCACCGGCGTTTTCGCACTTGTAGTTTCCGTTAGCATCACGGTTTTTGAAATTTATGAAACCGTGCTCTAGTCACAAATTGATCTGTCACTTTTGTACATATTTTTGTTGTAAATACATACGTTTTTATACGATCTATCAAGGCATTGCTATTCATTTTCTAGTTTCACGGGAAAAACGATAGTGCTGAGCACTAACTGTTTAGATCAAATGAAGTCAGCTAGTATGGCAGTAGTGCTGAGCCCTAAAACTTTAGGATCCGGCCCTACAGACTGTAGGTCTCAGCAGAATTACCATATCAGCTGGCTCCATTTGATCTAAGCAGTTTGTGCTCAGCACTAAATCGTTTTTCCGCGTTTTTAAGGGGATTTTTTTTCTAAAATTAAAATAATTCCGATGAAAATCATGCATGCAAAGCAAGATAAATGAGGAAGAAAAGATGACGTTAGTCATCGTTACATTTTAAGAAAACCTTGTTGTCTTTATCTTTACTTGAGTGATTGAGCAGGCAAAGTCAAGGCAGTTGCAAAATAAAATTAAACAATAAGTGGTGTTCAGTTTAATTTAGATGGTCGTTTTGCATGTCTCTTGATGTTTTGAGTATATCCGACACAAAACAACACTCAATTTCACGGAAATCAGAGGAAAAACAGCTAAATGGACCAAAAACTCTGCCCGTGAAAATCAAATGTAGTGCCGGACTATTAAAAACGCTGTAAAAACTTCTAGGCCCGGACTTGCCATGAGGCTTATCTTCCATTGGCAGATACGCCCCTCTGACAAAAAAGAGAAAAAAAATGTATGACTGACAAAAAATGCGGAAAATTCACAAAAGAACAGGAGTACAGAAAGTAGACGTGTCCAAACCATGAGGTATTCATAGAAAATTCGCATGGATGTCATCAAGACTGACCCTTAGATGTTCAAGACTATTTTTATGTGCGGAGTCTTAAGTCAAATCTGATTGACGCGTATTTAAATACATTGATTTTGATAGTTTTTGAAGTATTATCCATGTGTTTCTGAAGGTGGGAAAGCCTCTTTTTGAACTTTTCACTTTTTTGATAACATACTGGCGCTTTCTCATCCAACCTCATCACTCGCCATGTATAACTCCCCCGGAAGAGACAGTCAGGTCAATTTGACTCGCCTTAGGACCTCTAGTGGTAGTTTTAGGATAAAATTCCCTGACACGACACAACTTTTATCAAAATACCATTTTTTTAGACGTACAAAGCTTATTTCATCTAGACCTTTTACCATTTTTTTTTTCAAAATGATATTTAATTTGGACACATCACGGCAAATTTTGAAAAAATTGAGCCTGAACTTTTCCTTCGAGACCCCTCATCGAGAAACAACTATTTGTGCTTGATGGATGTCTATGTTGAATCTGCATAATTGAAAGCGCCATGTCGTGAGGCGGGAAGTCACAATCCTCCGCTCTATGCTGCCAGTGAGGTGTCGCTTACATTCGAGAGAAAATATAAAAAAACGAGACACGATTACATCTTCCGTATCTTCGGCTGCAGTGTTGCTCACGTAGCCTTTGAAGCACCACCATAAATGAGACGAACGGGAAACAAACATGATATAGTTATAGAGCAAGGGAATGGTCTCGCGTTGATGAAGGCGCAGACATACAACTATTCGTGCTTGATGGTTGTCCGTGTTGCATCTGCAAAATTGAAGGCGCGATGGTGCGAAGCGTGTGTTTGCAGTGCTCTTCCCCATACTGCCAATGAAGAGTCACTCAGATTCGGGAGTTAAGTTTAAAACGAGGCCCGAATACTTCTCTCCTCTCTTCGGCTATGTCAATAATCGATTTTTGTCTTTTCTCAAGTTACTGTCTATTTTTATTTGCTTTTTTAAGGATGAATTTTTGTTATTTAGTTATTTTTCATCAGAAACGTTCAGGAACATAGACTGTTAATGTCATTACATAATTTATGATGGGGGAGTACCTCTGCTATCTCAAGCTCATAATACACTTATCCAGATCCCATGTGACCCATGGAGCACATGTTTTTGGCAAGTCTTGGGTCAATTTGGCCCGGCTTCGGCATTTTAATGTGGGCACATGAAAATATACTTAAACTGACTGCACTTTGCTTGCCGAGGTCTCCCAGTTATTTCAATATGTTCAATTTTGAAGTTTTCACTATGTGCGATAAATCAACTTTCAACCTAAAAATAGTGATTAAAATTGCGCTGATCTGCCAACATTTTCTATACCCGTTTCCATGTCAACCCCTTCCCACAACCAGGGGCCAAGGGTCAACGCCCTCAAATGTGAGCCAGCGGTGATCCTGACTTCGCGGATAATGTATTGCATTTCAGTTAAAGAACACAATCCAAAAAACGAATTCTACACCAAGTTTAGTAAAAACTAACTACTTCATTCCCCTTGCATAGTAAATTAGCCTGCACCAGAATTTGAGTGAACTTAAAAGAATATTATTTTACTACGCAAAACAAGTCATAAAGAGCAGACTCAATTGGATGGCGTTTAGAAGAGAGGAACCAAGCCACATCAGCACTGGGCGATTTAATTTTTTACAAGAGGACGTCTGGACGGATTTTTTCGACAATTTTAAGGAATTTGCTTCATACTATGCGGGAAATTCACTGAAATTTGCACGAAAATTCGCACATTTGTGTCATGTAAAAAATTAAATTGCCCGATTAAATTTGGCAATCGCTGATGTGCCTTGATTTTTTTCTGCTAAACGCGGTCCAAATGTTCATGCACCAGGGGACTTATTATTGAAATTTATAGATAAAGCGGTAGACAAAGCGATAGCCATAGGAAACATAGAGAGGATGGAGCTATATATCCTATTGGTTGAGACGGGTGCTTCTCATAGACTTAGGGAGGCGATGACGGACTAACTGTCAGGTCTCTCGTGGGTTGCCGTCTATTCCTTACCTCCTTTGTCCAATCCAACCACACATTTTAACCAATGGGATAGCTTCATTTTTCCTCGGTTTCCTATGTCTATCGCTGTGTCTGTTAATTTCAATAATGATGTTGCATGTGTGAGGAATTTGCGATTTGACTACTGGTTTTTAGGTAAAAGTTCGCGAGAAACACGATGGTGCCACTTGTTTTCTCTGAAATTAACCCCCAAGCTCAAAAAAAGCTCTCAAGTTGAGGCCAAAATGGAGGGAATATCCCACGCTATCGCTAAGACAAACTCTACATGCAAAGATAGGGAGCAAATATATTGACAGGGCTGCCACTTTATTTGGGGATGGGGACTCAATAATTGAAAACACGGCATCACTGCTAATGTATTTGCTCCCTATCTTTGCATAGAGAGTTTGTTTTGATGCAGAGGGAGACTCTCAGGATAGCGTGGGATATCCCCGCAATTTTGGCCTCAACTTGAGAGCTTAATTTGAGCTTGGGAGTTGATTTCAGAGAAAACCGGTGACACCATCGTGTTTCTCGTGAACTTTTACATAAGAATCAACAGTCAAATCGCAAATTCCTCACACATGCAACATCTCCATTAGCCCGCAGAATTTGATTACACTTGAAAGAATCTTCCTTCATTACACAAAACAAGTCATAAAGCGCAGACTCAATTGGAAGATACCCTCGACGAAGGGGCCAATAGTGGAAGGAACTGCGCACTTCGCAGCCTCCAGAACGACTCTACCCGAGTGCCGCTGAAAATAGATCAGCCGCTCGACTCGTGCAAATTTTACTAGCGGAAACCGGAGGCGCGACCAATGAGAAGCGCCGCTAATTCCCCCTATCTCGAATTTTTATATATTTATGGCCATTATCAAAAATTCTGGAACATTGTATCTAGGATCGATCGCTCTTCGTCAGCGCTCGCCGCGGCTGTGTACTTAGTCGTCTCAAGAGCCTGGACAAACACGGATTATCTCCGTCGTCACCCGCGATTAGAGGATTACGCTGCCCTCCGCGACTTCCACGAGCGCGTTTTGAATATTTAAATCGATACCGCCGCAAGGGCCTCCCTTCATAAAATTCGCCTATCGGGTCCTTCCGACTCTCATCGAGCCGAATTTGAGCTCGCGGTGAGCCGTTCCTTCTGTCGAGTCCCGCCAATAATTTGACCCGCGACCGGGTCCGTTAGCTCCAGCTTCTCGTTTGCATACTTATCGGTAATTTCGTACGTATGCATATATTATCCAGCCCAGTTCGCCAAAAAGTCTCCAAACTCAACTGCGCCCGCATTTTAACGGATAATTCCATATCACGCCGCAGGTAAGAAGCTCTTTTTCTCTATATTTCGAAATTAAAAGTCGTGTAGAGAATCGCATCTTGCGTGTTTTAATAATTTAAGATAAATATATAATTAGAAGCTTTACCAGAACACACATATAATGAATAATTAACAGTAAATTTTCTCGGATGCATTTCGGCTAAAGTCCACAGCTCCATGCAGCTCCGCATATTTGGCTTTTATCCATAATGCACCCGGGAAAATATACTCTTAATTCTTCATAATATGCGTGCTCTAGTATATCTTCTAATTAATTATTTATCCTAAAACTCGTCCCTTCATCTTAATGGTCTCACTGATTGTGAGAATAATATTTCTGCTCTGTGTTACTTCGAATTAATATAGGGTAAGAAGACAAACCAACCCAAAACTAGTGCTGATTTTGGTAAGGTATTCATCATATCGAGAAAACAATGGAAAAACTGATAGACCCGAGAAGCTATTACCGATGACCTGGATTACTTTGTGTCTCATTTCCCATATGAATCAACATTTTGTGTTGTTTCTCTCAGTGATACTCAACTGATGTCTTAACTCTGAAGGAGGCATCAAGGTGAAAGTTACGAGCGACCATGAAAGTATTTCTTTAAACCCAGTGGATATCTATGATATCCATAAATGCATAGTTCGGTTTCTTAAATTTGAAGTCATTGGTTCGTTTATGTACAAATTATACGATGGCACGTGGCCAATGAACATTTTAATGCTCTCAATTTGAAGAATATTTTACCAGAAAAATTGTTCTCAAAGTCAAAAAATTGTCATGGAAAAATCAATTATGTCGAAACGCTGCTCGAGCTTATTGAGGGGGTATTGTCAAAAAACATATAATACATTTTAATCGAATGCTTTTGGCAATTATCATTGCTCAAATATAACATTAAAATATATTTCCGTGTACATGCAGCTCTGATGATATTTTACACTAATTATATTGGGCTCTCAAATTAAGAAGGGAAGAAATGGTTCAATTTCATCGTCATCCTTTATATTTAAAAGCGTCACTAATTTTATGGAAATATGTAAATGTTATGTATGTTTCTCGAGAGCTTCAATTCGGTTCATAACTTTCCTTACAACTGGAACGTCAGACATTTCGATCCCTGAAATGTTAATAGTATTATTTTATAACAATTGTCTCCAAAATGTCGTATGCTCGTGTTTCCGGCTGTTATAAAATCTAACTTATGAGAATTCAAATTTTTTCGCAATCTTCAAAAATACATGTCTTATTGTATCCTGATTCAATGCCACGATTTGGAAAAAAAGAAAAATGTAGAGATATGATGTTATGAAAATACGTTGTATTCCATTTAACAATAAGATCGCTGGAAAAATTTTAGAGCAATCATATTAATGAGGTTTTTTTTCATATTTTGGTAATTTTACAACTGACTGAAACTATTTCAATTTTTTTCCAAACTGTTTAATTTTGAGCCAATACACTGTAAAACATTATTGGCACTAGGATACATCGAATCGGAATTACGACGTTGCCACGTTCCTGCAATATTCTGATTTTTAATTACAAGTGTATAATAACACAGCTAATGAAGTGGCATGAATGGTAAAAATAGCCTCTTTTACTAGTTATATTGGCAAGTTGGCATCATCAGCCACTCAATTCAGGCGCAATTTCCGTCTTGTCTAGCTTCCCTTTTACCGCGCAATTTTGAGCAGAGCAAAAAAAAACTGATCACGCTCGACGATCTGCGCTCGAGTTCAAGAGCTGTAATGAAAAGATAAGAAAAGACAAGTGGTAGAACATCGATTGTGGTGGAGCACAACGCCGATTTATGATACACACTCAACGAGAGGTTGTTAATCAGCTAATGCGCAAAGTTATCTGTAAACTTTTAATTCCTCGTTGAGGAAAAGTCAAAAACTGTAGTTTTAATGTCATGAAGTGACATTTGCACCAGAATTAGCATGTCAATAGTCGTAGACAAGATAGTGTCTTTTTCGCAATCGCAATTAGACGCTGTCGTTAGTCAGTTTATCTGCAGGAGAGGCCGTTATATATGTACATTGGCCACAATACAATGGACGGGCAAAGGTGCAGAGTTTAATCGTTGAAAGCAAAAGGCATGAAAATATAACCTATTTGCAAACTTCATGAGGCAAATTTTTGTGGGAACATGTGCATCTGCCAAAAAGCCCTTACATGTAGATAGACTACAATGCAGGCGAAACTATGAAGTGTCTATTCAGAAAGACACCGCAAGTGGTTATGTTCCGTTTTAGCAACCTTATTAATAACGCGTTCGTGCAGAAACATCTTTCTTCGTTGCTACCTCGCAGGAAATAATCGTGGGTGGACCTCTTTAGGAGGATGAGATCCACCTAAGGTTTTGTTTCTCAAAAACGACAAAATTGTGGAGTATGTAGGCTTTGTGCAAACATTATTCTCTGTGTTAAAAATTTAAGCAATTGTGGACTCCAAGATGTTTGATGATTTGTTGAAGTTCACAAATAAAAGGCACCAACGAAACTATTTTCTCAGGGGAGTGACTATTACCTCAAGGAGCAAAGATAGGGTAACAAAATCAAAGATTGTGTTTTGAATAATTCAGTCAATACAACGCTGGTGCGACAGTTGGCAACGCTAGATTTAGTCCATTTAAATGCATTTGAAACAATCATTATTGATCGATCGATGTAAACTGTCTCACATGGAATCGATTAAATATGATGGCGTTAAATGGATGCAGGATCATTGTTGCCAAATTGCGGGACAGGAGATAATGGACAGCGTGTGTGCTGTCACACTGAAAAAAGTTGCTACTTTAGACATACGAATATCAAGTTTCTAATTTCTATGACAGTTAGGAAAAAAGTTACACACTGAAATAAAAATCTCGGTGTATTTACTAAGAAAAAGGTAAAATTACCAAGAATTCAGGGTTCTTTTTGATCCCAGTTTTTTCTTGGTAAAATCACCATTTAAGGAATTGGTAATTTTACTGAGAAATCTTGGTAAAATTATTGAACTTTCTCGGTAATTTTACTGGACCTTGGTAAAAACGCCAATATTTTTTATCGACTGTAGTAGAATTACCGAGATAAAGTGGCAAAGTTACCGGGAATTGATTACTAATAAAAGTGGTATTCTTACCGGAAAAAAACAGTAAAAATACCGATTTTTACGTAAATTTACCAGTATGTCTTGGTAAAATTACCAATAATTGGTAAAAAAGTGAGATGGTAAAGGTACCAACTGACCGTGGTAAAATCGCCGAGAGTTTTTTTTTCAGTGCAGCGACGCTCAGAATCGGGTCTCTTATTTCAAGAAAAACCCACTCTTACAGTTCTATCATTACTGGAGATCAGTTTTTGTCCAGATGCGTAATATTAAAGAGAGGTGACCGTTCATCAGGCTATGCAAATTAGATGGCAGATAGTTGCCTTTTTTCACAGCATTGAAGATGTAAAGTTTTACGCATTAGCACTCAAGACTTGGCACAGATTATTATGTCACTAGGCCACGTTTGACGATTGACAGCATGGTATGCGCATGAAGTCAAAGTCCTCTACGGCAAGTATATTTACTCCGCTATCCTCACGGAGTCTTCAAGACCCAAAATTGCTTGCAGCAATTGATGAAAAACCTTTACTTGAGGAGTTAAAATTGAAATCTTGTAGAGCGCCATCTACTTTTGCTTAAGTTTGTGCAGGGACTCCTCGATGTAAAAGAGCATAGGCGCCTCTTCGTCTCATGGACTTACCACTGGGAAATTTAGTGAAAATGATCGGTTTATTTTTATGATGAAAACTTTGATTCTCATGCTGCTGGAATCACGTAGTAAACTAAACAGCTATACAATCTTAGTCACATCTGATGGCGCTTACCAGGTTTTGAAACCCCTCTCTTCATTTCTTCGCTCATCTGACGTTAAGACGTACCTCAATTTCTGTATGAACCCCAGAAAGCATGGATGTAAAAGAGGGTTCATGTGGAAATTGGCGGACGCTCTTATACGCTAAAATGGCAATGATTTGTCTCTCGCCTAGCGGGCTGATTATTGTAATTGATAGACAAAGCTATAGACGAAGATGACACACTGAGAATAAAGCGGCCCTATTGGTAGAAGCGGGTGATGGCAATGGAAAAATGAGGTAACTAGTAGACTAACTAACGGCAACCCACGAGAGATCCTGTAGTTAGTTCATCGTTTGCCTCCTTAGTCTATAACAACCACCCGTTTTAACCAATAAGCTTACTCCATGTTCCCGATGTCTTTTATGTCCATAGCTTTATGTATCAATTTCAATAATCAGCCCGCTGGAGGACCATAGATGCTCGGAAAATGCTTAATTGAACGGTTCTTAGGCTATTCACATGACAACTTGTCAACAAAATTTTTAGAATGCATCCACTATACATACGAAAAATCTTGTATGCCACGTTTGCGTCTATATCAACCTTACCAACTGATTAATTGAATATCGGTATACCCAAATAAAAATGCCATAGTCATTATGACCCCGCGAGGAGATAAATGTTGTCAAGTTGGGCAGCTATTCCCAATAATTTGAAAAATAGACTAAATTATATTGATTCGGCAATTTATGGCCTCATCTCTCTGCATGAGCCTCTAGGGGCTTTTCTCGATCGGTGAACAATAAGTCCAATCTTCCAAGACCTTGTTAAAAATAGCATCTTGGCGCACTCGAAACCGCATCTGAGACTGTCACTGAGCATCGTGATATTCAAGTCTCTTACCTTGATTTAGCGGTATTGCGAATTCCACCAAGGCTGTTCTAGCTTCGTTGTGAATGAAGTTTCGAATCACAGGCCAAGTGGAGAGTTTTGCAGTTGATGAGACCAGTTGCATCAACAGTTGATTGCGTGAAGTGAATCTGTGGTTTCGGATGGTGATCATGAGCGTCGACGGTGAGTGCCGGCGTTGACAACTTTGCTGGCTAAGAAATTGTCCAACGTCGCAAAGAATTTGCGGATTTGGACTACATTTCCGATAAGGAAATACTATTTCTTGATATTTTTAAGACAGCATGGTGTCATTTGTTTACCAATGTAGATGGGAGCTTTTATGGGTGAGCCAGAAATAATAGGCCCTTATTATAAAACGCAGTCACATTTTCCTGAGGCTCAAAAAAAATGGAACAAATGGATCCAATTGAAATGCAGTGGAGAGGGTGATTAAAAATTCTTTTTAAGTTAAGACTATTTAAAGAAACAGAAAATCAATTTTTGCGCCATGTTTTGTACATATTATTTTTTTTTGAAAAAAAAAAAAAAAAAAAAAAAAAAAAAAAAAAAAAAACCTGTTGGTGCCTCTCTATTCTGAACGACTTTGGATTCAAGAAAACTATATATTACAGTTTCTCATTGTAAAAAAAAAGTAGCTTCAGCGATGATCAATTTAATCTCTGGTTAATGCAGTATAAAATGAAATTCAAAACTTAGGAAACCAGTTTATGCATTGTGTTTCCAGTCGTTAGAAAATCCTATGAATACCTTTTCTTCATACATTTTTTATTTACAAATTTTTCATATGTTATTCTTATCTTCATGTAAAGAGCTTTTGGTCGCATGTCCATGGATTCTGGTTAAATTAGAGAAAAAGTTACAATATTTTACTAACACTTGATACGCTCACCAGGTTTCAGTTGAGATCCAGCAAGTTGGCAACACTGTTAGTGCTCCATTTGAATCCATTAATTATATCGATTCTAGGTAAAACAGGCTGCGACTCCTAGAATCGATTGTTTCACATAGATTTAAATGGGAAAAAACAGTGTTGCCAACTTACGAGGATCGTCACTGCCAGGTTTTGAATTTTGACGCTTTCATAATTACGTGCAAAGTTCGTTTGATCTTATGACTAAATTTAAACGATTTTTTGGTTGCAGAGATCAAAATGACGAAAACGGAGAGCAAGGATATGATGTCGAAGATCAGCGAGGCGGAGAGGAACGGCTCGAAAACCAAAATCATCGATGACAAATATGATTACGACCCGTACGACCAGCCTGCGCCAGAAAATGCCACCTCGTAAGTCTCTACCTCTTCATCCTTTTTTTTAAAACAAAGTGAATCGTTTTTAAATAAACAAAAGAAAACAAGCAGTGAACTCCAACACAATGTGTTGATAAGGCGCGTCATTAACTCGCACATATCAACCCCTTTAGTTTTCATTTACAGAGATTTCAAAAAAGGCAAGCAGCACAACAGGAGAATTCACGATCCAACACTGCAAGGTCAACGACGCACCTTGACGAGACCGTGTATTGTGAATCTAGAAAGCTATTCGAACAAATTTAAGTTTTTTGATACGCCTCAAGCAAAATCTTATCAGATTCTTGAGGAAAAGTGCTACGGAAAAATTTAAGCGAAGAAAGGAAAAATTCTGTCGAATTCCTAGAAGATAAAGTCGATTTAAAGGTATTTTGGGGCTAAAATACCCAAATCACCGGTATTATAAATCCCGTTATATTATTGAAAAGAAATTGACTCGATATAAATGCAATTGTACTAAATATGTCTTGATTTTGTTATTTTAAACGTCTTTTCATGCAAAGAAGCTCAACCATGTCCATGCTTTATTCATTCATGAATTGAAAGTAAGCAATCCACATCCCGAAAATCTACCGATTTGCCGTAAAAAATCGCAGAAACTTGATATACCAGGTCGATGTACCCACTCTTTGAATTTACCAATCAATTTAGTGAGTGCACGTAGGTATGTGAAAGTCAAAATGCTATAGTCATTTTGGGTGCATTCATTTTTCATGAAACAAGTGTAAGTAATTTCAATCCCGAAAAACCATAAATTTTCCGTATAAAATCGAAAAAATCAAAATATGTCGACTCCCTGACGTGAAAATTGAATTCTACGTGTGAAAATACTTATGTAT